ATTATTAACTGCAAAAGTAATATGGCAGTCTGGTTAGGGTCATTATCCATTTGAAGACACATTTGTGCCCAAGCTTTAACTTCCTGCCCAATTCCTTGAGATGTTACTGCCAATATCTCCACATATTTTTTCTYATGATGCCTGCCATCTATTTTGTGAAGTCCCTTCTGCAGAAAAACAATCCCAGGACATAATCATGCCATCATCATGGTACAATCTTCCCCCTTTTTACTCCGAATGTTATGATTGTTAATATGGCCAAATAGTTTAATTTTAGTTCAACTCACAGGACATGACTCCAAAAGTTAAGGTCTTTGTCCATGTGTGCATTTGCAAACTGTAATCTGACTTCTGTATRTTGCTTTTGGAGTAATGATTTCCTCCTCACTGAATGGCTTCTAAGCCCATGTTGGTACAGGTTTTGTTTCATTGTGGGCAGTGGTCCCTTAAAGTGCTATAGTGCTAATTGCGGTCCTAAATAGCTTGTTTGCGTTTTAGGGCTTTTACTAAATTTTTGAACTATGTGCAGATTTTCCCTTTCTAAATTAAAAAATTCAGTAGTGCTAAATAAATTATTTTGTCATGCATTGATCATCATTATCTTTAACAGTGGAGGGAGAATGCCATCTCCAGTCAATACAATGCAGAGCCATTGTAACTGAACAGCACCYCCTCTAATGACAGTTTGTTCTCAGGTACTATATACTCTAGCTGACTGTCCTTCTGGGTCACGGTTTTCATTTAAKAGACAAATACCACAATTCTTTGTGTTTACATAGTGGGAAGCAATTGGAGCTATGTCACTGGGCGACACTCCCAGTTCCAGCCCTTCTCCATCTGCGTGCTTGTTGCGGTTTTGATCGGTTCAGCTTCTGACGAATGTGCTTACGATTTTTACGTCAGCAGAATACTGGCCATGGTTAGGGTTAAGTTAGGGTTAGGTCGGTTAGGTTATTAGTTAGGTTAGTCGCTCTTGGATTGATTGATAGAAGTAAGGCATTACTTGTGCAAACTTCCTTTTGGAGAGAACCTGGAGAGGTAAAGGAGACAAAGACGAGCAGATATCCAAACAAATTAGACGCCCACGGTTAAGCAAGCATTTATAAACAGCACCACAACAATAAATAAATAAATAAATAAAT